AGTACTATATCAAGGTATTATCAGCTATCTTGGGCAATGATTGGACTGTACCGTGGGAACCAGTACACCAACTCTCAGATGGACTACACCATCAAACTCACCTTTGAATTTGCGTCAGAATGGTATATACAATGTCTATGCTTAGAGCAATACTTCAGTCTCTACCACGCCATCTATCTAAATCAACCCTTATTATACTCAGATTAGATCAGATCAGGTCAGATCAGGTCAATCAAGATCAGATCTCTGGACCAAGTTAGACCAATCACATGCTCGGACCGATCAGACCGGAAGTCGCGACACGAGAGTTGTGTGGGAATCACCTTCCTAAAGGCGCCAAACGCTCAGGCACGGATTTCTGAATCTTCGGTAAATCAACGAGTCAGGGATGACTCGTAATACGCAACTACTTCAACGATACATGCGCATCGAAATCCCCTTAGGTGCAACCTAGTCACTCCCACCAGTAATGAGGATGGCAACTTCAATCCTGGGTACGCTAAAATCACCGCAGCGTTCGCCGTTGAATAGGTGAAGCAACTCGGACTTCGCTGGCAGTAAATTTGCCAACTGCGATGACGCCACAGAGAAAGATATCTTCTCCAAGACCATGCAGGGGTATAGGTTGGCCTCGCGAGGTGTATTGAGGTAAAGTGCCAGAGCGTTGAGGTGGTCGACAGCCAGATGACCGACTTGTCTCCGCGTGAACGGTATGTCTCGAGCAAGAGGAGGGCTTGTGAAGCGGATAGATCGCAGACCCCAGAATTGATCCAGAATTTCTGAGAAGGCCAACGAACGGTCCGGCAGCCATGAATTACGTGCAAACACGACCTCCTGGGCGACAGATGGATCGTTCACCCTGTCGGCAAAGATGGCACGGATGACATAGGTCGCGGCGTCGTATAATGCCTTCGGAAATTTGTTGCTATGAGTGCCCTCGCGCAAGAACGCGGCGAATTGGCCGTCTCTGACGAGTAGAGATCGCCTTGCAGCGCGTCCTCCATCCTGAACACCGCTGTTCCTCCAGTCCCGAGCCACAGAATCATTCAGCACTGCGTCCACCTCGGACGCAGAGCGCGCAAGGCAAACTGCGACATACTCCGGAAGCCGACCAGCGATGTGCTTGCAAAGGACGCTGTCCGAGTCAATCCGGATGTCCAAACCGATGTAGCAGAGCGACATCCACAGCCGATAATCCGGCTTTGGGTTGAGATTTCGGCTGAACGCGCTAGATGAAGTAGAGAATAATCGACGAGCGCTTGTGGGTGCAGCAAGCGCTTTCGCGTAGTCTCTGAGTATGCCTCCGTCCTGCTCTTGATCTTCGATCATCTCGGATCGCCAGATCGGCGCGTCATACCGCATATGCTCTACTGGCGCGTCGCGGATATGCCGCCTCCACTCTACGACGAGCTCGAGGTGCATGTCCAGCTCGTGAGGGAGGTCCACATTGCGCAAGAACCGACCGGCTTTCGATTGCGGCGAAACAAGACGCAGGAAGCGAAGAGAGGACAATGCGATATGCTCCAATTCGCCGAAGACGCTCCTTCCAGCGTCAATCGTCAGGTACAGAAGTGTCCCGGCGCAAGCCTGCAATGCCGACGAAAATTCGGACGCAAAATTCGCCTTCCACGCGAAGGAGAAATGGACATGTAGCGATACTAGACGGGGGGAATAGTATATTGCGGGGGAGTTGCTGAGCCGACTGACTTCGAGGGATTTGCAAAGCACGGCCATGACTCTACACTCCCGGTACTTCATGGCGTGGGGTGCTCTGTCGTATATTTCGAGATCGAAGTAGGAGAGACGGCTGGCTTCCGCAGCAAGGTGTCCGTAGACAAGCGATTGCGTGAGATCGTACGCTGCGCTGTCGCTCGCTATGGCTTCGGCTTCGAGCCAGGGTATCGCTAGCTTGATGCTTTCAAGATGGGTGTAGAACGCCGCCGAACCTGGGATTACACAGGCGCAGACATTTAGAGCGGCAAGGCTCTTTGCACGGTAATGTATGACAGTCCGACCTCCGGTTCTGCCGCGCGAGATCTCGGTATGTTGAGCGATCAGAGGGAATAGGGTATTGTCCAGGCTCCAGATTGTGTCAGTCTCCTTGTTCTCCTCCGCTAGAACTGCGCGTAGACTTCGTCCGACCTGCGATAGGCAATGGGCTGGCGACCTCAACGCCAGTGGGATCTCTTTGGTGCGCTTCAAGCAGCAAGGTCTACTGCCGTACCAATCTTGGCCACTGCAACACGAGGGTTCGTCTTCTACCGCTGGCGCGAGACGTCGCGGCGCGTACCGTCTGGCACCCACATACGGCGCCTGAGGTGAGAAGAGCGCTTCACGCCAGAGTAATTGAGCCCAAAGAGCTATCCTGAGAACTAGGTTCGTCGGCAAGTCTCCGAAGCGAAAATACAAACTCTCCAAAGCGTTGTGGGACATGGTGGTGAAGAGCAAAAGCAGACTGTTTCGCCTTAGCGGATGAAAATGGGCCGGATCAGCAATCGTGCTTCTCGCGGTGCGACCCCGGCGCGCTCGATCGGCGACTGCGGCATCATGACCTAAGCAGCTCTGCAGCTTCGCGTTCATCTCCCCACCGCACATTTCGGTTTATGTTACAAACTGTGATTCTGTCTCTCTGGAAGCGGTCCTAGTTCCCCCGCCCCCCGGCTGTATCACACGTTGAAATGCCCGCTTACTTATATTCACCGCTATATTGGTGAACGCAGGCCGGTGACTACGACGCAAGAGGCGCCGGCCCTAACGCGCTCAGATGAAAGAATATGGCATTCATGCGTGTCGATTTGTGCGGAACACAAATTCGCTCTAGACTCTAGAGAGCCATATGCATTCAGATGAATACTGAAATATACAGAGCACCAGGCGATCGACTGCGGCGCTTGGTATTGAAGCGCCTTTCCCATCGCTCGGTGAAGGCGGCAGCCCCAAGATGGACTGGCGCATCGCCCCTGCTGCGGATGTATATGCGGCGCAGACGGCGACAAGGGTAGCCGGAGGAGGACCTGAGATCATTCAGGTATGTAGCCAGAGCCTCCAAGTGAGCCGGTGCGAGTATTCCTTCCATCGTCTCGTCGAACGGCTCATTGTCGTCCCAGAAGCGCTCATAGCAAATGGCGATGGCTTCCAACCCGTCGCAATGCTCCAAGATATGCGCCCAACCCAGCGAATACGCCGGCTTCCATGAGAGAGGGTGTAGAGCCAAGGTGTTCACATACTCGAAGCCGGCGAATGCCGTTCCTGACTTGCCCCGCGTCGCCAGCTGCATGAGGTAAGCGGCGGCATCGTATACGGGCTTGACGAATCGAGGTTGGAACACGTTTTCTCTAGCCGCCGTGCTGAAAAGACTGTCTCTAAAGACAAGCGACCGCCGCGCCTTCTGCTTCATGCCCGGCGGTTCGGACTTTCGCCAATCCGGTTCGACATCGGCACAGCCATCCAAGAATTCGTCCAGAGTATCGGCCAGGTACAGAGCGACTATCTCCGGAAATCGGATGCAGGCCCGCTCCGCAGGGCTGGTAGATGGATCTAGGCGAATGTCCAGCCCCGCAACCTGCGCGGCGTGGTTCAAATTCTCGTCTAGTACATGCAGCAGTGGCGGCTGGTGGAATATACTCGACGTTTGATCAGGCGCCGTAAGCGCCGTCATGAATCGCCAATACCCGTGAGGATGAACATTCGCGCCGACGTCAGCAGCTTCCTCCATCGCCGCGAAAGGTATCTCCATTGGCCTAACGTGACCGCTGTCAACCATCACGCTGACTACCCGCTCAGCGGCCGCTCTCCAATCGTACACTGGCTCCAGATGGATATCCAGATCTGGAGGTAGCTGCAAGGCTTGGAGGAGCCAGCTCGCATCAGCCGCTGGGGCTACAAGCCGAAGATAGCGTAGGTGCGGAAGATGGATGAAGTTTTCGCCCCCAACACATGCCGCGCTAGGAATATCAAGAGTAAGGTACTCCAGACTCGCGGCACAGAGCGCCAGGCCCCTCCAGAAGCTCAGTCCAAGCGTCGGGCTTTGCGACATGACGTGACATATACACAATGCTGTCAGGGAAGGCGACGTGTAGAAAAATGCCGCGTTCACGGTGCGCGACACTGTGGCGGAAAGGCTACGGACGGCTCGAATTGAGAACATTGGAACGGTCGTTGATCGAGAGGGTTCGTAGTACTCCAGGTCAAAGCGCTGCAAAGGACTGTTCGCACTGTGATTTCTCATGAACAAGTCCTCGTTATGCGGCTGTGATCGCGTGGCCCAGGGCAACGACAACTTTACGTCGTGTAAGGTGTCGTAGAAGTTCCGGATGCCCCTTAGCAAACAGGTGCAAGAAGGGGAAGCTATGAGCGTGCGGCTCTCATACGATACGCCATCGCGGGAATAGCGCCGCGCCGCCCCCGCATCGTCAGCTTTGAAGTTTAACATGGCGTTGTCGGCAGTCCCGAGGCGAACTTCAGCGACGCTGAGAGCTTCGCGCACACGTGTGCACGTCCGCCGCAGACAGTGTGCAGGCAACAGAACACTCTGCGCAAAGGATTCGGTGATGCAAGAAGGAAGAACGGCGTGGCCGACATGGGTACAGCAGTCTTCGTCTCGAATGACGGTCTCCCCTAGGCCAACAGCGAGCCTCCTGTGCGGTGCGCCGGACGAGGGAGAGAACATGTCGTTTATCCAGATATATTGGCCCCAGACCGCTATCTCTACTATGAGCTCCACGGGTAGATGGAGAAGCGGAAAGGTAGTGACAGTAGCCGGCAGAGACATGGTGGTCGGAAAGGACATGACAAGTGCCGCAGCGAACAGACTTTGACTGGCGGCAGAGTCCGGGTCAACCATCATGCACACGTGGGTAGTCTAGTTTGTTGTCGTTGCGTTTTCACGGAATGGGCACGACACGCTCATTTGTCCTTCCCGCTGACTTGAAAGATGGCGGCGAGAATGTTTACTGCCAAGGCCTGTTCCAGAGTAAGGAAAGACCGTCGTCAGTACAGGCCGCATGGGCAGTTCCGGAGTCGCTATCTTGGTTCCGGCCTCGGTTTCCGCGACTGCAGGTAATCGAATGCCGCTGGAGACTTGCTGCTGCCGCTGAGGGTGAACTTTCGAAGATCATCATCGCATTGCATAACTGTTATGAAGTACATCTTGGGGCATCGAAAGAGGTTTCCCGCTGAATTCACCACACTTCGGCAAACAGCCACCGGTGTACCACACGACTCATATTGATACGCTTTCACAGATTTCCATTTGATGATCGAGGGCATTACCCATGGGCCGTTGGGAATACACAACTCGGTCTTTGAACAGTCTATGAAACGAACGCCGCGGCCTTTCCGCGCGTGGGAACACCCGACTGACGGACAACCGGCGGCTTCCTGAAACACCATCTTGCTTCTCAGCGCTCGACTTATCGATCGGCATGCTTCCTGAGCGTGTACTTTGTAAATAGGGCACCGAGGTGATCGGGCGAAGGAGATCGACATAATGTTCGTGACGGGAATCTGGATACAAGTACATCGCGAGGACGGGTAACGCAGAGCGGAAACGATGAAAACACTCGAAGCTAGAGCCGTCTCATGACAGGTGTTAGTCGCCTCCGCTTAGCCTTTGACGGCCTTCACTGCGCGGCGCTTGTCGGAGAACCGCTGGCGGTGCTCCTCGATCGTACGGAGAAGCATGTCGTTCTGCTCCCGCGTGGCCTGAAAGGTCTCTAATTGCCGGGCGCAACGATTGATACATTAGCACTGGTAGATGTGAAATATAATGATCCTTACTGTCCAAGGCATCGCCAAGGTCCTCAAAGCCCTTGTCGAAAGTATGAGAGAGCTCCACCTTCTCGATCTTGATCGTCTCCTCGACGTTGTCGAGTTGAAGGCCGAGAAAATGGAGTGACTTCAACTGATCAGTGTCGATGGCCAGTTGCACCTCGACAACGTCTTCGCTCTGGTCGCCGAGGGCGGCGGTCTGCTTCGAAAGGCTCTGGCTCATGTTCTCGAGACGCTGGGCGATGTCGCGAAAGAGCGCTGAGTCTACCATCAGATGAATGACATAATACATCGCCTGGCTGACTGTACCGATAGGGGTCTGATCGCCAGTGGCGCCGGCGTGGTCATTATTGGCAGTGGACCCACGGTGATCACCACGTGCCGGCGGTGTAGTGAGAGAACCCCGCGTAATGCGAGGGCCGGGCAAGAGGGGGGTGAGCGTAGCTGTGCTCAGCTGGGTAGACATGGTGGACTGGAGCAGGGGTGCCGCCTGAGAAGACCCAGTCTCAAGACTTATATAGATCGGACACAAACTCGGATCATTGCGGCGCGTGGGTACGGGCCGGTCCCGGACTTAAGTTCACGACAAGACGCCAACCTCCTGAATTTGGGTTTGCCCGAAGCCACAAAGAACCGCGTCTTGAGTATAGCATGAAAGGACCGTTGCACTGAGGCGATGAGCGGGGATAGTCGTTCTGCTAGCTATCTCTTTTTCTGAAAGCATCATTCAAAGCAGTTCGCGACGCCGATCTGTTGCATTGTCGTCATGTCATGGAACGATCTCAACTTGACAGCGACTTCCCTGACCATCTACGTAATGGTCAATAATTGAGACAGGACTTGACCGCCAAGCTGAGCTATGACACTTGTGACACAACGCTGGTTACCATCAGCAGATGTGGGGACCCGCTTCCTTTCTTCAAGGTTCGCGAGGCATTCAGATGAATGAATCCCTACAACTGCGAAGGGCTATTTAATGGCTGTCAAAATGGATGGGGGCCCCTACATTTGTGGAGCAGTGGGCTTTTACCCATCCCTCTCCCCTTCCAGGTAGGGCTCGGGTCCTGCAACTTGAACCGAAGGTGTCTCGGATCTCCGTCGCGTTGAAAGAGAATGCGCGTCGTCGACAGGCCCTGCACCCAAAGAGACGAGATCCATGTATTGGTACCGCTGTCTTGGGAAGGCGGCCGCACCTCGTGGGCGTATTTGTCCTTTGAATCATGATAGGGCAATGCTGTTTGTTGCAGCTTCGTTGGAGGTTGCTGCCTAGCCTGGTCATGCCGCATCCGTTAAGTTCGGAACCAAAGGTTGGTCGGCAAGGGAGTGTTTCGTCTCTAGCCCGGCCATCGCCGAAGTCGGCTTCTCGGAAATTGCCGACTCTGCGTTCACGTGTAAGGCTGTGTAAGGTAAAGGCGCTGCCCCCTGCGGCTTTGAACGTTCGCTCCTGCCCCTCTGTAGTCTCCCGCCCACAATACGCCCGTTGCATTGTGCACCCCGCGAGCTTTGTAGTGCGCGGCAAATGACAGTCGTCATTTGTCGTACGGGATTTTATCGGTCCTTCGACAGGACACCAACCTCTCGTGGCAGTGCTTGATAGTCGACGGCTTCGTTCTCGATTTGGCAGTCCCAACACCAGCTTCAGCCCTTCACCAACACCATCCACAAGCGCCGCAACTCAATCGAACCTCGTTTCTTCGCACGGCTTTTCATACGCGTAGCCAACGCATGGAGCCATCCGTTGGGTCGCGCTGGATTCGACTACGTGCTCGAATAGGCGGAGAGTGCTTGGCAGGTTATCATGGTTGGAGGTACACCTTGGTGCGTCATGACCCATAGTATGTACGACTAGGCTACACTGCTGATCTCGTTGAATTCTAGTCCGCGGAGGCCTACGCACAAGCGCTCGAGAAGGCGTTGGCCTAATAGGAAATCGCGGCGCCTGTCACCGGGTCAGCGTGCGACTAACGGCCCCGGCGCAAACGGCTCGTATAAAACCCTGCGTCTGCGAACCACGGCTTTCAGCATCGTCCACCAACATCGCATGTCCGATACTCCCATGGCCGACAACACCAACAACCCTTTCGGACCCGACGCCCAGAGGGCGGAGATGATGGGTGCGTCCGCAACGATATCTTAATTGCTTCGCACTGATGTTTAGTAGCGGCGATTCTGGGTGTCCACGCCAAACTTGACGTCGTCGCGAAGCAGCTCGAGACGCAAGGTGCTGCCATCGGCACACTCGGCGATGGTGTCGCACAGCTGCGCGACGCGCAGACCAACTACGGCCGCGTCGTCGACGCCCTCAACGACAAAGTTGGGACCATGAACGTCAACCTCCGCGTCGAGACGCGCGCACTTCATGTGTCCGCCACCATTGGATTCGCCAGGATCGTCGAGAAGCTCCGCAGTAAGTTGCCGGTGCTCTTCGCCACATTCACTTCTAACTGGGTCTCCCAGCGCACAGGGAAATCCTGTGGGAGCAAGCGCGCCAGGTCGTGGACGCTGTCCGGGGTATGTTGCGGGAAGTGGTGGAGCATTTCGCCCCCGCCTAAAAATGTCCTCGAAGCCGCCAATTTCTTGATTTAACGTGTTTGTTTTGATTGCTGTGTACCTCGCGTCGTTGTATATTTTCCCCGTCATGATGAACATATTCAATTGCGCCTCTGCTCATTGTGTTCTCTGCGACTTACTTCCGCCAATGTGAATCGCAATGAGGATCTGCGCCGTGAAGTTCGTCTGTGGGCGCTGTTTGTCCTGTTGGCTCAGCAACAGGTCCATCGAGGCACCGCCATGGCGATTGCTGCCGCGTGAAGTAACAAAAACGTCTGGTGTAATGAGATTCCCCATATGGAGCTTGTGAGATCGCCGCCTAGTCAACTGACAATCCGAGATAAAGCTTTAGCCTATTACCCGTAAGGCGAATCACGCAAAGCATGCCGGCACTCCGGGCAATTCTGTAGATAACGCAGGAAGGCGTGTAGGTTGCACGGGCCGCGTCATACGGTGCGCGGCGCAGCTCCATCTCCAGCGTTAGAGTTGTACGCCTCACACGCGGTGCAGTGCGCGCTCAACGTCACGCGGTGAATCCAGCCGCGATCTGATTGGAAGGCGGCTACATCAAGGCATCCACGGCGCCGCCAGGTGTTAGAACATGTAATGATGCACGCTTTGGCCACCCAAATTGGTAGCATTGGCTTTCATTGTTCGGCACCGCCTTCCCCGAAGCTTGGAGCCACCTCCAGCAGGCATTCGTAAATGGGCATCGGACAACGCCCCAAGCACCGCCGGCTTTCACTGGAAATCTTGCCGTCCCGGCATGCGCGCTGACGATAACGCGAGCGGCTTCTACGGCATTGTCGGCTCTAGGCGGCATTCCGATGGAACGTCTCATCTTCGCCTGGGGATTTTGGGGTTCATTTCGCAGTAACATTTATCCCTGTTATTCAACGGTGTCGCCCTTAACGGTAAACAAGTCGACCGAGAAATACTGGCGCTTCAACTCAAGCAACCTCACTAGACTCAGGCGACTCTCATATATCAAGAACAGCCACCGCCGGGACGTCTACCAGGCGTCTTACGCAACTACAACAGAATCACCGCGCTCTGATAATCAATAGGCGAGCACCGCCGAGACGTCGAGGCGAGACGCTAAGACGAACTCCCGAGGGCGTTGGGGATCCTGGCTACTTGCGCCAGCTACGTCTTCGATCAGAAGGTAAAATTCCTTATCCAGGTGGCCAAGTCTATTCAGGTCGGTGGGTGTGACGCCGCCTGCAATTCCGCTAGTCAGTCAACCGATCAACAAGGTAAATCGGACGGCGCATTACTGATCAGCTGGTCGTCGGCGTAGACCGTCTCCGTATGATTAGCAGCCACGAAACACCAGTCATCCGGCATGTCCCGTAGCTGCTGAGCAAGACTATATAGGCGGCGAAAGGTTCAGTAGCGTCCTAGCCCCAAATAGCGGCGCTGGGGAACTTACACATGTGCGTTATGGACTTTCCCGTCTTCGATGGCCAGGCGCAGATGGCCTACAGACCAGATCGTGATTGTCTCTATCTTGCGTAACTTGAGTCGGCGAATAGAAAGATCAGCAGAAAACGAGTGATACCACTTTCGTGCGAACATCGTCGACCATGATGAAGCAGATACGATCAATCACCGCCATCCATTCCTCGCCGAAATGATTCTTTACAAATATCCTTTATAGCAATGAGCGTCTGAGACAGATGTGCGGCGCCGGACCTTACACGTCACCCTGCACCGGTCGTCTGGCCTGCGTTGATTCCCCGAAGCAGTTGCGTGAGCGGAAAAGTCCGGCCAAGTCCTCCTCCATACTGTTTCATAGTCAATGAGCGACTATGTGCAGCATAGGAAAGTATTGTCCAAGCGCACAAGTACCCGCGAAGAAGCAGCACAGGGTCGTGACGCAGAGAAACCATGCGTTCGCGCGTACGACGTGGCGGCATATTCTCTGGCAGGAGCGGCGCCGGGCAACAGTCGATGGTCGGCTCGGAAGTACGGATGCCGGCGGTGCGACACCAGCAATTCCAGGGGAAGTTCGAAAGCACAGCGGAAGCGCCGAGCAAGGAGAGGGACTGCCCCGCGGCGACACGAACATGGTCACGTGCATGATTCGCCGCTTGCTAAGCAAAGATTTGTCACTGTTTCGGTGAACCTTGTTCCCCAGGGAGCCAAGCTTGCCTGCTTCAGCTTCGCCTGCCATGGTCCCTGTACGGCTTGCTCCCTTTTCCTGGGACCAAGCAAACGCCGATATTTGCAAAGACTTCTTGAGAGCTATCCTGCGCGACAAAGGTGACAATGTGGGATCGATCATCAATATACTCAATGCCATCGATAATTCCGGCCGTCTTCCAGCAATCGACGTGTTTCCTTCGCGCAGCGATCTACTGGACGCATCCTGGCCAGGAATCTTTGGGCTCTCCCTCTTCGCTTCCAAGCAAAATATTGCTGTGAGTCAATGCGCCACGTGTAGCCCTGTATATATGATAGAACGACTGCAGATGTTCGCTCAAGCTATGGAATCGATCTGGCTGGTCTACTTCTTGCATAGTCTTCGCTTCCAAGCTCTCGGGCGGCACCTTTGGTTTCATAACCTTATGTCGAGGGAAGCTGGGGCTGAACTACATTACGCGCCCGAAGACCTTAGACTAGGGCGCGACATCGCCGCAGAATTGGGTCCTGTTGATCTAGTCATCCACCGCTTTTATTCGAAATGGATGCAAGAGCGCGGATACCCAGGTATGGGACACGGGATGGACTACGACTGGGTAGTGAACATTTCGAGCCTCTGTTTGCGCATTACATCCACCCTTCAATACCGCCAAATGTGAGTTGATGCCGCATTGCATGAAGATTGGAGGGCGGCTAAATCACCCTAGGGAAAGTGGTCAAGAGCGAGAAGAGTTCTTCCTTGAGTTGCGAGAACATGGACGGGCCGCGGACAAGCGTCTCGCATTCATGCTAGCGGCGATTCACTGGGAAACCAGCTCCGACCTCCAGGATAAAGTCGACACCTTGAATGTTGCTTTCAACGTGACGCCGCCACTGGCTGGCGCCTTCGTTCAAGGCTTGTACATTGACAGCCTATTTGGCCATAACTTGGTTCGTTTAGGGCGTTTCGAAGCCCTGCCTCTGCCGGTGAGGTTGGCCATTCGCCCTCCCACAGACATATGGCCCGAGCTCCAGAAGATGTGCGTCTGGTGTGGCGCTGAGAGCACCAAGTCCTGCGGCGAATGTCGTCGTATCAGATACTGCGGTCGGGTCTGTCAGATAAGGTACGCGTCCCATAAGACCGACACGATTATATTCGCTGATCTCTTGCGGAGGCACTGGCGTGAGTCGCATAAGCCGGCCTGCTCGACATACAAGTTTCTTCCCGACAGTCTACCCGCCTCGGAGAGCATCGCCTGAGTGTGGTAGGTTCTGAATGGCCATGTCAGGAGCAGCAGCTGCTGAAATCGAATTTGTTTTCGCACCACAGTCGTTCATGACGGCGAGTTGGCGCGTTGGCGCGTTGGAATCTTTCAGTCGCTGCTCATGTACAGACTATGCGGCTTGTAACTACTTCACTCTAAGGATGATAATCCTATATATAGTGTGTCGTACAAGGATGCAATATGATTCGCCATCCCAAGACCAGCGACTGACTGGTAAACTAAGTGACCATCCTGGCGTATACATGACAGTTCTCATCGCCTAGTGTGAAAGGTGCCGTGGATGGGGATCATTTTCCGGCAGGTTGTATGAGGGATAGCTCGCCCAGACGACATCGCCGCGCATAGATTGTTGCTGAGACCGTATGAGACGTTGTAGACGACGTTTTGCGCGGAACACTCAATTCATCGTAACTCAACGCGTTTGGGCGTCGTGATATGGGACCTCCAGTCCACGTGCGGCGGGTGCTCCAGGCGTCTGTTCATATGAATGCGCCGCAGTGATGCGCGCTTGGACCTGACCACCACACCATGGCCCCCAAAATCGACGACCGCCGCGATGAGCACTCCGCGAACCGAGAACCGGCGACTACCGGTGAGTGCTCCTTTACAGCTGTATGACTGCCGGAGGTTGATGTACCTTGTACGGCGATAGATAGAGACGCAGAGTCGCGCGCAGACGGAGCAGCTCTCCCCGGAGAAGGCGGACCCTTCAGCGCAGACCAGCAGCATCTGACAACCCAGCTGCAGCTGCCAAGCCGGGCGCAGGAGGATGAATGCCGGGGGGAGATGGGGGAGCCAACGGCCGACCACGCTGGCGATATGGTATCATTTGACCGCCCTACTCGCGATTATGAGGCAGACTTGCTCGAGGTGCTCCACGCACCGTCGAACGCGGACGCCAGAGCCCTCGCGCGCCGCCACTACGAGCGCTACGGAACAGACCCCACATGGGAAGCCATTCGGGAGACCGCGCGGGTTCGTTTGAGCGAGGATATACGGCAGGTGGAGGAGCAGTTGGATGTTTTGAGGCGGCAGCTGCGTGGCGACAAGGATGGACTTGCAGGTCTTGCTGAGGAGCCCCAGAACGAGGATTTTCCATAGACGCATGTGCTGGCGAGCTTCTGTAAAATGTTCAGAAATATTGAACAAGTCATCGGCGGGTTGAAAACGTGGCAGAGTTTGAAGCGAAGCGCCTGCGGCGCCCCGTATGTCCTTCCAGGCTGTAATTCCAAGTCCGGCTTGTAGTAGATCACGAGCTAGGTCCACTAGTGTGTACGCATAATTAGAGTGACATTCGAGAGCACAAAGCACGAAAGTAACTATTGCGATTCTGAATACTCTGGTACATCAGCCTGGAGAGGGACTGGCCCATGACGAAGTCCGTGGGCGTCTTCATACGTCCTCTGGGCGAAGGTCGCGGCATCCTGACGAGAGGCGTGAAGAAGTTGAAATAGGTTCTGGCTATAACCATGTTCAACCTCGACAGCCCTGGCGACCCCATTTAGCGGAGGAGAATGGTGACAGATGCATAATGACAGGCCATTGAGGCTCGCTGAATGCGATTAAAAACGCGTCATCATGGTATTAGCCCCAGCCGGCATAATCTAAATTCAACAGATGTGTAGGGAGCGAATAGCTCAATTCTACTTGTTGCCTTTATCCCCTATACTCAGCTCTTGACGATTTTCTACAGGGCCATCGCCATATCGGCGATGGCGATACCGACGTGTCCGGCGATGGCGATACCGACGTGTCCGGCGATGGCGATAGCCACGTGTGCGGCGATGGCGATACCCACGTGTTCGGCGATGGCAATCTACCTGACAACGGTGGCCGGCTCAAAGGGGGCTTGCACCTGCGCGCCGAAACATTGGACCCTCGTCACAATATAGCTAGCGTCATTGCCTCGCCGGCGATTGTTGTACCCCCGTCGACGGCGATAATGGACCACCCGCAATATTATAGATGCTTTATCAAGAAATGCCGGCCCAGCCCCGGCCCTTTCGTAAGTTCGAGAACGCACTTTGGCTTCCGGCCAGAGCGCGATGCCGTCGCCGGGCAGCCGCCGCGAGGCGCCGAATAGGCGCCGACTATCAATCGCCGGCCGAGCACCGGCGATGTTCGATAAGGCCGACTCGCTCAGGCTCCTGCTTCTCGCCGACCTTGAAAGATTTTGCAGCACGAAGGCGTCTTACAATTAGTCGTAAGCAGACTCTTCCTCATGTTCTTCAATGTTATGATTTAGATTGTCGTCTTTTGTAGGAAGGTTATGACGGCTTCAGACACATTCATTGCAAACAGGCCCTTCGGGGTATTGCCGGCAACTCGCCTGCGCCCCCACAGCACAATTACTGGCCGGCGTCACTTATACGATCCCAGAGGTGCCTGTCTCGTGACTTTGGTTACTTGTCCCACGAATTGTCTCAAGGCCTGGACTTTCGGCTTCCCAGGGTTTTCCATGAGTAATCTAGTCACCCGGGAACAATGGCCGGAACTCTTGTCCCGGTGGTCACGTTATGCAGCCTTCACATGCATTTACTGTATACCATTCTTACAATGCTACTGCCAGCAACATCGCTTTGACGGAGCGGGATTAGTCGCCCCAGCACCGTCCGGTGTGGCTGGGGGATCTAATCCTACCGCGGTCGTCATTGCGATGTTTTGAATCATTTTCTTAAGTTTCTTTTGTTGCAGCACCAGTAGCGGAAGTAACTACAGATCTTTCCTTTCACACTTGCCCAAGGCCAAAAAAGCAATACTTCAAGAAAGAAAAGGGTATATGATTGCACGTGGCACACAAGATATCTACATTTCAGACACTGCAAAAGTTCCCCGGCATCTCTACATGTCACCATACCGCGGCCTCTTGCTTGCCCGAGGGCCATCTAGACCATTAGGTTCCACCTCCGAGGGGCTGCAGGAGGCACGACGACGCTGGCCGGCATTGGGAGACTGCGTGGCCTGGGCTGCGAGCGAAGAAGGCCCCTGGGCGGCGCTGTAGGAAAGTGCGACGAGTGTACGGAGGCTAACCCTGGCGCCACCAGCAGCCCTAGAATCCACGGTGAGCGGCGTATGGCTGGTGGACGGGGTCGCCGCAGCAGCGTCGAACGTCTCGTTGTAGGAGGGCGGCGGTGCTCTGATAATGATAACGTCATCCGATGCCCGGGCAACGGGGTATGAGGGCGGAGGGGAGAGGGCATTTCGCCCACGAATGTCATAATCGTCGTCGTAGTCGTCGTCGTCGTCCCAGCCACCTGTGTCCCGTTCTAGTGAGTGTTCTGACTCTGCCGAATCCGATTCTTCCTCACTAGACTCGGAATCCGAATGCCGAGCGGACCGTGTCCGTGTCGTCCACCTTCCCCGTGCATTCGTGGCATGCACAGGCCGTCGTGCGGTTCTCCAGCGCGTGTTGGACGTGTTGCTGGCGTTTGCGCGGGAAGTCTCCCTGACAGTTCGACGCCAGCTGTCCAAGTCAAGGGTGTCAATGGACGGCGAGCCAACGACGCCCCTTGAACTTGCGACGGTCGACGCTCCCGCTCGGGCCCTGCCGCGCCTTGCCGCTGAGCGAGCGCTACTCGCGCGGGCAGCGGCGGTAATTGAGGATACAGTGCGCTCATTGGCTGGCGATGCTCTAGACGCAGACGTTCTCGCTGCAGGACCAAGAGCGCTCCGCGTTGAAGGAAGTACGGTGCCGTCGTGAAGCCGAGCAGTCAACGACGAGCCACGTGAAGCGCCTCGGGCCTCTGAGTTGAGCGTACCGCTGGAGGACGAGGCTGCCGGGTTGGCACTGCCCAGCGCCCGATGTGCGGTCGTTGGAGGTCGCGGCACTGTCAGTCGAATTCAGCACTGCTAGAATTGCCGCAATGGCGCGCGAGACTCGAAAATGAAGCTTACCGTTCTCCCGATCGCCGTCGCTGTCTGAGACATTCGTGTCAAAGATCGCGTCCAAGCTGCGGTCCTCCCAGCAATCGCAAGGCAGCGACATGGATCCGCCATCAGCTGTTCCTGCCGCAGTACTTGACGGTGTAGGGTTGGAGAGCGCTGGCATCGGTGTAAAATGGCGATAGATTTAGGATTGACGGAGACGCGACCTTGGTGATGGCGGTGCGAAGGTGAGAGCAGCGCGCCGAATTGACGAACGAAGGCGTCACGTGGTCGGAAATGCTTGACTGCGCATTTCCGGCATCGGTTAGCTTATAATCGGCGCTCACAGCACTTACTACGGCAGGGATTATCCGCGGCAGCTAGCGCTGCGCGGTGGATCGCGAAATGATTACCGTAGAAATGCCACATAGCCGCAAGAAATACGCCGTCGTTCTAGAGATATGTGATTACAAGCAAGAAGGTAAATATGCAGTGAAAGATTATCAAGACTATATATGCAGATCCCCCACAATGAGCTTAGCCTCCTAGCCTCCTCCTTTTCTTTGGAATCGGTGGACGCCGAAGATCCACCACATCTTCATCTGAATCCGTGAGCTCAATGGTCGGCTCACGGCGCTTAGTCCGGCCTCGGGGCGCCGAGCTGGAGGCAGAGCTTGACGAGGCGCCATTGTAACCGGCGCCAACGTTGGGTTGCGGAACCGGCAGATGACCGGCTACGGTACGCTTGTCTTTTGCCGGTCGGCGTTGCTGTCGCGCAACCTCTGTAACGCCGCCCCCTCGGCGCCGAGCCTCCGATCGGTTCCGGGCAGCGACCACTGGAGGGGGCGCGGGGAGATGGCGAATTGAAGGGCCAGGTTGGCTGCGATCCAACAACTCCTCGACGTAAAGCGACGTCAGAGGCCTCTGCTCAAAACACACCGCGCCTCTAGCGTTTACAAACGGAGCCTCATGGGGCCTAGGAGCACGGCTTGTTGAGGCGTTTGCAGAAGTACCATGGGCCGGCTCAGATGTTCCGGCCACCTCAGAGGGCTCAGGCAGCTCTGTAGAGGAAGAAGCGCGCCCAGAATGCACGGTCACAGTGACAGGCGCGGTATGCGCCGTCGTCGGCTGTGAGGGTTCCGGGCTGTTACTAGACGAGCCATGCGTGGGGCGGGTTCCGCGGTTGGTCACAAATTCAGGTAAAAGAACGTCAACACCTTGGGCTGCAGATGCCGCGCGAATGATGGGATTCGCAGCAAGGCCATACAGGAGTTGTTCGAGGTTGTCAGCTTCGCGTATAAGCCCGCTAAATGCCCTGAGCTGACTGCGGGCTGCACGATAATTCTGAACCTGGCGTCGCAAGTCCGCCTCGATGCCAATAAGAGTCGCGGCTTCAAATCCGTTCAACTCCCTCATATGGGGTGGCGATGCGACGCTAGATTCAACTTGGAGATCCAGCCACGATTCATATTGTTCTGTACAGCGATAAATATTCTCTCAATCGAAATTGCAACGGCGCTCGTACCGGATGTCGAGATACCAGCTTGGCGGAAGAGGTCGGGAACCTCAAGATCAGCCGCGGGAAGAGGGCTCAAGTCACGGATCTGGAGTGTGTATGGGCGGCGAGGGCCACGCGGAGGGAGCGGCAAAGTTGTGGCCTCAGCAACGACCGCAGCGGTAGTCGATCCAATATAGCGCGGAGGAGGGGAGGCGGGCGTCTGGACGCCCGACGCTGGAACGGGAGGGATGGGCGCAGGCGCAGGCACAGGCACAGGCGCAGGCGCAGGCAAGGATACCGGGGAGTGGCGAACGAGCTGAGCCCGGGCTGAGCCCGCGGATACGTCGGCAGCGTCTGCAGGAGTCGATAGGCGCGCGCACTCTTCGAAAGATAGCATTGATGAGACTACGCACCTCCGTTGGCCATATCCACATCGTCATCCTCACTATCATCCGAAAACGAGCACCGCGTATCGAACATCAGGTCTAGACTGGGATCTGCAAACTCATCGTACACGCTACCAGCCGCCGAGGAGTCCGATGAGTCGGCGACGCGGATGGGTGCGTCTGCTGTGTCACCAATCCCGGCAAAGTCATCCGGTCTCTCGGGACCCGGAGTCGGGTGGCGGATCGACCTTGAAGACATCTAAGACAAGTCCGAACCCTCCCGCGGGCCAGCGAGTCTCCAGAACGGAGCCCCAGAACAGACCGGTGAAGCTGTAATGGGGGCAAGAGACAAGCCCGTATTAGCGCCGATCAGACGCAACTCCCTCACGGTACCGTGACGGTGGTTCGGCGCCGGCGCCCGAGTTGGTTGAACGTTCACGCGAGAAACCCAAGGCCGGCGCTCCGCCCTCCTTCCTCTTCATCATCTCCGACTCCGTCCTCGAAGAACTCGCCTGCCAACAGTCAGAAGGTTGGTCGGCTAAGCAAGACTGGGGTATTCCCGAATGGCCGGGAGCAAGAGACAGCTACCTCAACGGGCTATACGCCACAACCACGTGCAACCCGATCGTGGTTCTCCCACGCTTGAATCTTATAAGCTCGGTGGCTCGCATGCAGGAAAGTCTCTCCCGCCCGCACCTCCGCACTGAAGACGCTCGTTCTTCCTGTCCTTACTGCACTATGCCACAGGCTACTTCTGGACAAGTTGTCTCGCATGCCTCCGCGCCGACGGCTCCTGTTCCCACCGCTCAGCAGATTGCGCGCGCTCTGACAATGACCGGCGGCACTGCCCTCGGCACGGACCCGCTCGACGCCGACCGCGTCAGGTCAGATATCGTCGCGTTCTTGCTGAAGAATAAAGATCGCGACGTCGGTTCTATCACGCTTCTGCGGGCTAGAGATGCTTTCGAAGCTATGGCGATTGAGGCAAGAAACCTGCCTAGGCCGGCGTTGAAGATAGCGTGGGCTTTTCTTCAAGGAGAAGCGGTAAGCACGCCTTGTAATATGGCGCTGTAGACTTGTATACTCAGGTGCTCCCAATCTAGCGCCTCGCCGTAGAATCTAACAAGGACGCTGCTCTTGTGCTCCGGAACTGGATGAACATGCTCTACGAACAGACGCGAGACAAGGGCGGCGAGCGGTGGGATTATGAGACTGTGACCAGCATGGTCACGATGGGTTGGCCAGCAGAGCAGGCGATCAAGACGTTCTATCCGCCGCATGAACGGGGCCCTCTCCAGTGGTGGTACTGCCTGCGTACGTCTTGTGTTGAACTACATGCGTGCGTATACTAAACGAGCCCTAGCTTTCTTGCGCGGCAAGAGCATCACTCGAAAGGACGTGCGCGAAGCTACTCTGCGCTTCGTCATGGGGGACGGTACACATTCATCCCGGGCGCCTACAGCACTTGACCACGCCATCAGCGCCGCAACGATTCGTGCTCACCAGGCGCAGACCGCCGGGCCCTCGTCCGCTCGACCCATACGCCAGGCTGCTGGCGCCACTCGCGCCGCGCTTCAAAGTGCTGTGGTGCACGACCGCGATCCGGATGACGAGAGCTACGTTCCTGACGCCGCCGCTCGGTCTGCGTTGGATCCGCAGCAGGAGTTAACGCGCGAAGCGAGCGAAACACCGTCGGTTCAAGTGATACCGGCCCCTCGTACAGCTCGTGCTAAAGACATTTCGCCATGGCTGCGGCCGACTCGTTTCTCTGGAACCGTCACATTCCTGGTGGAGGACTACGACGCTTGGCAAGAGCGTCTGCTTCAATTACCTCCTGGAAGTATGAAGGAGGGAGAGCTGTGGGAGCTTCCGGAGATGCATGGGATCGATCGCCACCGTCCACCTGAGCTTTTTCAATTCGAGGTACGCGCGCAGGCCCATTCGTCAAGGCTCCTGTACACTGACCTTTGCTTGACCCCCTAGAAATCTTGCGACGGATGCCGAGAAGGGCTGAAGCGCTGCATCGATCGAGGTTCCGACGCATGCTTGCCTTGCTTCTGGATGAAGATGAAGTGTACTGGAGGACGAAGGTCAGCGTCGCAGAAGAAGAAGAAGAAGCCAGATCTTGGGTTGCGCAAGGCCCTTGTGCAACTCTTCGTCAGGAGGGGAGTCATGAAATATCCTGGTCACATTCTGGACATGAATGGTGCGTCTCCCTTGAGTTCTACTTCGCTCTATAGCATCTCACAGCCACCCAGGCCGCACGATTCAGGGTTCTCTATCCGGCGGCGCAGGTTCGCCACCTAGGTATGACCCGCCGGCGCCATCGTATGACGCGCCTTCTGCGCCGCCACCTGGTCGCGCCCCCG